GCGGCTATGGCCGCTGCTACCCCTATCGCTATGGCTAACTCTCCTTCTCGCCCNCACTCACGCACTCACACACGCTACACTCTTCTATCAGCTATGGCGGCTATGGCCGCTGCTACCCCTATCGCTATGGCTAACTCTCCTTCTCGCCCACTTCGTCTTCGGGCTCACTGCAGACCACCTCGCGCAAGTCGCTGTGGCAGCGCTTCCGCATGGCTTATGCAGAAATGAATGAATGGCTGGGCGCTGCCTCTTGATTCATACTTCTGTATCTCGTTGGTCTGCCCCTTTCCCATGCCCGTGGTGCACACAGTCCCATACGGTACTTGCTTGACTGGACTAGGACTGACTGGGACTGGGCCTGCTGACTCAGCACGGGTGGACTCCACCACTTGCCCACTTGCCTCAGCCTAAACGTGAGCAGCTTCGAAAGGCCAGTACCAGGACCTTCCGGAAGTTTCAGTCCTGGCCTTYCGGATACTGTAGCAGCTACGACCTTGACCTTTGAGGACTGTAGCAGCTACGACCTTGACCTTTCAGAGGTCCTACAGCTATGACTTCTAGAACTCCCTAAGACCACTATTCAACAGGTCTACAGATCGAACCCCTACAATCTACAGACCCTACGACAGTCTGCCAACTGTGGGAACAGACAAAGGTCGTGGGTTCAACTCCTGGGGTCGACACAGGTAATGTACACAAGTAAGGTAAAGTCTAGGGATCGAGCCCTGGGATCTGCATTCGCTACTGCGGACAGGTGAATACCGTTTCACTCCCGCCAGCCTAAATTCGAGGTCCTCCAGAGAATAACTCAGTCCAAGGCAGGACCTTTACCTTTCTTATCTCTCTCATAGGCCCTAACTACGTCGGGAGCTGTTTCCATAAGTTCTGTTCGAGTAAACCAGCGGTCGTCCTCTGGTTCCTGATAAGCAAACCAGACCTTGGACTGCTTCTGCGGACGACCTCTACCTCCGGTTCTAAACACGTCTTCACCTACGATGCCGTCAATGTCGTACCTTCTGTCCATGTCTGGAGGGGTCATGGATCTTCTAGATGGAAACTGTTGACTTGTGACACATGGCAACAACTTTGGCGCATGAAACACAGGGTAGGTGTGGAGGTGTGCTGGGATCTCTATTGTGTAGGACGGCCCATCCTCTCCGCCCCTAACTTCTAAAACTGGCCACGGTCCTCTATATGCGAGCAGTAACTTCTGCGAGATGTTTTCCTCAGGAGCAAACTCTTTGGACTTGACCCAGACTAAGTCGCCTACTTGGAACTGCGATGGGCGACGATGCTTGTTGGCTTGCTCTATCATTTTGTGTTGGGCCTTCCTGAGGTTCTCGACGACTGTAGCTAGCACTTTCTCGTGCTGTACCGGGCGGTAGCCTATGAATCTTGTCCCGGTTAAGTCCCTCAAACGGTCTGCGCGGTCTAAAGGACTTGTGCAACTCGTTGGGAGTGCGACAGGTGGACAAATGCATGCTATTGTTGTACGCACTGGCTACCTTGGGCAACATCTCATCCCAATTGATTTGATCCGGTCTAATGTACATGCGCAGAACTTGCTGCAGGATCTTGTTCATCTGCTCAGTCTGGCCGTTAGTCTCTGGATGGCGGCCAGACGACATCAACAACTTTGATCCATAAACTTTCATCAGTTCCTGCCAGTTCTGACTCATGAAACGGGTGTCTCTATCACTAACTATAGACAGCGGAATCCCGTGATCACTAACCCAATAGTAAAAAAACTTCTGAATTACTAGCTCAGTTCATGCCTCTGCAGGCAAAGGGACAAAAACAACATACTTATTGAATCTATCAACTATGACCATGACTTGGCTCTTACCATGCCTACTCTTGATGCCAGCGTCCATAAAGTCAATGGACACTGAATCTCCTGGCTGATCAGGAATAGGCAAGGGTCGGAGCAGACCTAGAGGGGCACGCGTAGTATTTTTGTTTCTCTGACATACTTTGCAACTGCGGACGTACTCTATGCAGTCAACTTTCATTCCTGGCCAAGTGTACACATGCATCAGATTGGCTAGAGTCTTTTGCCAACCGAAATGTGGTCCTGCGCATACGCCTGTCTAACTTTCTCCTGCAGGTCACTCCCTATATCCAGATAGTGAACTATAGCTCCAAAGTAGTCTGATCTCCTACTCAGAGTGTCCGTGAGTACATTGTACTTGCCTTTAACAGGCTTGAGCTCAAAGTCATACTGGTCTATCTCAGCGGCCCACCTAGTCAACTTAGGTGTCATTTTGGCCTGTCTTCAACCGTCTAAGTGTCTCGTGATCTGAATACACCTTGAAGTGCCTCCCAAGTAGGTAATGGTTCCAGTGCTCTAGGGCCTGCCTGAGAGCGTAGGGTTCTCTCTCGTATGTCGAGGTAGCTACCTTTTCTGAGGGCATCATCGTTGACATGAACTCTACGGGTCTGTAGCCATTGCCGTCGTCCTGCTGTAACACGACGCCTATACCATACTAACTCACGTCCGTGGTGACGACAAATGACAAGGACGGATCTGCTACTTTGAGGACAGGATACTCTATCAACGCGCGCTTTAACTTCTTTAGCGCAGACGCACAATCGTTGTCCCACTGCAAGATCGCCTCTTTCTTGAGCAACCTTCGAAGGGGAGCGGAGATAGTCGAGAAGTTCCTCAAGAACTTCCTATAGTAGTCGGCTAGGCCTAGGAACGACCGCAACTCAGTCAACATGCGGGGCGTCGGCCAATCTCTAATCGCCGCTATCTTGCTGTCCTCAGGCTTAATGCCATCTCCGTCTAAAATGTGGACGAAGTATAAGACTTGTGTCCTGGCACACTCACACTTCTTTGCGTTGATCTTGAAGTTAGCCTCTCTCAGCTTCTCCAAGACCTGCCTCAAATGACCCTGATGCTCTTGGTGGGTCTTACTGAATACTAATATGTCATCTAGGTAAACTACAACAAATCTATCTAACCACGGTCTAAACAAATCGTTCATACAACGCTGGAACGTGGCAGGCGCATTGGTTAGTCCAAAGGGCATCACTATAAACTCATAGTGCCCATACCTAGTCAGGAATGCAGTCTTGTACTGGTCATCAGGATGAACCTCTATCTGATGATATCCAGACTTCAAATCGATCTTTGAAAAATATATGCAGCCCTGCACCCGATCTAAAAGATCGTCTATCCTGGGCAGCGGTTCAGCGTTCTTCACTGTGATCGCATTTAGACCCCTATAGTTTATGCACATCCGTAACTCTCCTTCCTTTTTGGGGACAAACAAGACTGTTGCTCCAAAAGGAGATGAACTGGGCCTAATCCAACCCTTTTCGAGGAACTCGTCTAACTGGTTATGCACCTCCACCAGCTCCCTTGGGGACATCCTGTAGACTGCTCCCTTAGGAGTCCTACTGCCAAGCTCTATCTCTATACGATGCTGGATCGGTCGCGACACTACTCCTGATGCCGGCTCTGCAAGATCTTTGAACTCTTCCAGCAGCTTGGCAATAGCTGGGTCTATGCGTGTGTCTTCCTAAGGCTCAGTAACAGACCTCACATAGGCTACGATGACTTGCTCCTCTAACTGTTCCTTTCTCACTAATCGTGCGAATGCGGGAGCACTGAGACAGCAATGTGCCAAGGAGTTTTCTACTTCAGACACATGAAACAGGCGGGCAGTCTTAACCTCGCCTGACGGACTAGGGAGCCTACACTCATGCTCTCTCAAATGAAGTGAGGCCCCTGCTGCCTCTCCCCAGTCCATGCCTAGGACTATGTCGAAAGGAAGGTCATCCTGTACGAGGAGAGTCAGGGAATGGAGAACTTTCTCCACCTTCCCATCTTTCTCTAGGCGAAAATACGCCTGGACTCCCTCTACGTAGTCCTCAACACGCATAGTGCGGTTGTCTGCGAGGACACTAACTATGGGGTCTGCCAACTTTTTTTCAGCGCTTTCATGCTAATATAACTACGAGTAGCCCCTGAGTCTATAAGGGCTCCACTCTACTTCTAAAGACTTCTACATCAACTAAAACCAGTTATCCCTTGCTATCCTTCTTCATTTTGGCCCAGGCAAGCATCCTCTCCTTCAGCTCTTCTGCCACACCTATGAGGGAAGTGCCTAGAGAGACGTTAACACAAGCAGTCTCTGGACAGCTAGCTAGGCACTGGCCTGCAACCTCTGTCGAAGGCTCACGTGGTGTGGGAGTTTCTTGGTGGTGCGCGCACACTTCCCCACATGGCCTTGTAGTAGGGGCGGTTGCAACCCCTACTGGCGGCTGCCTTTTGACCCCTGGGCAGCGAATCCGGCTTCTCTATACTTTGGACAATATTTAATAATATGGGCAGGGTCACCGCAATAGATGCACTGCCCTTGTTCCATACGCTGTTGCCATACACGTTGGTCCAAGCTCAAATCTTCCCAAGGCCGGCCCTGTGGCCAACCTGGGTGCCAACCTCCTTGGCTTTGAGGTGACCTTCCACCTCGGCGCTGCGGCGATCAACTGGGTCCTAAGCGATTCGGCGGGGGACCTTGACCCCTACCTCCCACTCGGCGATTCCTTTGCCCGCCAACCCCCTGTGCACCCGGACCTCGACCACCCATGGCCCCGCCCCCGTGGCCCTGGCCTCCTCTTCCTTGCGGCGTCCCTCCAACCGCGACAGCAACGTATGTCCTCCCCTGACCTACACTATTGTCCTCCTCCTCTAGTCCCCACTCTATCTGACTTTAGGGAACTTCGCCAATACCACCTTCATCTAAAGTAAGGATCATATGATCCTTGGCCCTAACCTGGCCTGAGATGGTACGACCTTTCCACTTCTTTTGCTTATCTAAGTCCTTGTGCCAGAAAGTGGAAACTGACATGGACTTTGCCTCGAACAGGACCACTTCCCTACTCAACGCATCATAAGTGATATTGGTCTGTTGGGTCTTATCGAAGAAATGCCCTCGCAGGGGCTCTGGCATGGCACGATAAAATAATTGGACCAACTGGGTCTCAGTGATCCCGTGGTCTGGGACGGCTACCAAGTCGTCCATGACAGCTTTGAGTGCTCGCGCACTCCTCCACTATCGTGAGTGGATGGTCTGAAGCATATCAGAGGCCCTGACGCCCCTTGTGACGTCAGCGAACCTCTCTCGCAGGAGTTTGAGGAAAGTGAAAAGAGGGGTGAGCCTAGAGTATGCAACCATATTGTTTTCACAATCGGTTGTGCGCGCAAGGGACCTGGCAAAACTGGCCGCGTCATCCTTCAATGCATGGAAGGCTACGAGGACTTGTTCCTCGGGGGCGATATGTTGTAGATACACATATGTATTGATGCTGGCCTCCCAGTTATCAAAACTATCGTCCTTTGTCCCGCTATACGAGTCAAGAAATTTGAGCTTGACGGGCTCTTTGCGGGGACGCACTTCATCTTCGACCACTACTTTGGCGCCTGCGCAGAACTTCTCTGCGCCTTCCTTCAATCTCTTGACCTTGATCCTGACGTGGGTCACCACGTCGCACGCAAACTCTCTAAAGTCGGTCCGGATGGAGTGGAGGGTCACTTCCTGACCCTTATTGGCCTGATGTTCCTCAAGCCAGGCCTGACTCACAATCTCAAGATGACCCAAAATCTTATCTAATTTGGCAGGGGTTTCTTCTTGGGCTTGTACTTCCCGCCTACACGCCTGAATCTTCTCCACTTCTTTGGCCATTCGGTTGGCCTCCTCCCTCCTCCTCTTCTTTTCCCTTGCCAGACGCAACTTCCACTCTAATCTCTGCTCGTCTTCCATCGTCTGGCATTCCAGGGGGTCCTCCTTAGCTTCCAGCTCCATGGCGAATGCTTCTTTCTCCTCTTGAGGCACGTACGGCATCGCCTCCTCATCCTCACCCAGCGATAAGTTAGCCACCCACTCGCTAATTTTTTTCTCCATCCACTTGCCTTCTGCCTTCGTGCCACTAGTTTCTCCTCTCTCTCCCCCATGCCTCCTTTCAAGGGGTTCTTCTTCTACTTCCCCCTCCTCTGCTGCTGCTTCTTCTTCGACAACACTTCTTTTCCCTTCCTCCTCCTGCAGTAGTCTTAATATCTCCTCCTCCAACTTTTTCTTCTTCGTCGCCTGCTCCTTCGCTATCGCCTTTAGCTTCGCCTGTTTGAGGAGCTCCTTCTTCTCCTTCTTCTCCCTTCTCTCTCTCAGGATGGTGGCAAATTGCTCCTCCTGAGCCTGGGTGTAAGGGGTAGTACTCTTCCCACCACGTGTGTCAACCATGGTGTCAGGTGCACAACCGGGCAACGGTTCCACCCCTCACCACTTAGACTCTACCCCCTTAACAGACAAGACCTACTGACTCGATCTAAGGACTTACAGAACCCGGATAGGATCCTGTCAACTAGGGTCGCTAGCCTGGACCTAAACTATGGCTGTCACTACAGGACCTGTTGCTGATCAGGAGGCATTTAAGGAGATCCCCCGTAACTCCTCAGAAATTCTTTAACGTAGACAGGACGACGCAATCAGCAGGTCCTCTCAAGACTTAGATGGCCTGTTGTGCAGCCCACAACTCGAATTTCGGGCCTACCGTGCCACACCAAGCAGCCCGCCGGTCAATACTGGTCCTTGGAAGGGTTCGTGTCCTCTGGGACAGTCGAGTCGTCAGACACAGTCTTTAGCCCTACTCAGCCCGTATGGGTTTGGTCAACAAGGCCCTATCCTTCATTCACAGAGCCCTATTGCCTGGACAGAAGAGACTCGATGCAGAAAGAAGAGACAGACAGACTTGACTCAGCAAGTACCACAGGGTGTGTGCGCATCCATAGGGCGAGGGGATAGGCTGAAGGCTTGGCGAGATTATACCGGCTCCARCTTGGTCAAATTCGTGGTCAGCAGTCTCGGTCAATGCCTGGGTCAACGCTGCAGTCAACACCCGTTCAACTCCCAGTCAACGCCCGGTCAACGCCCGGTCAATGCCCAGTCAACTCCGGTCAACGCTCGGTCAATGCCCGGTCAACTCCGGTTCGACTATGGCGGTCGGCTTCCCCTTCGTCGCCACCCTTCTCTTTCCCTTTTTCTATCTCGCCTCCTTCTTCTTCACCCCGTCTGTCTTCTCTTTTTTTTTTTTTTTTTTTTTTTTTTTTTTCCCTTCTTCTTCCTCCACTTCACTTCTCTCTTCGGTCTCTCCCTCTGTCCTCTCTTTCACCTCCTTCGGCACTCTATGATTGCGTTCCACGGCTATGGCCGTCTTCTTCTTCCTCGTGGAACTGCACGACGGTCTTCAGAGGTACGTGACAACCAATCTTGTATTGTTCATCTCTCTCTCTCTCTCTCTCTCTCTCTCTGTAGCGATGTCTTCAACATAGGTACGTAGTGAACCA